GGCTCGCTTTAGGGCAGTGGTTTTCAAACAATACATCATCACTGCCACAAGGAGAGGGCAAGCTAACGTGTGAGAAGCCTCTCTGCATGGCTCTGACTTCCCGGCTGTCCCACAACCACTTCTTGAACTTCATGGCAATATGATGGTGAGACATCCAGTGGATGGCAAGAAACAGAACAATAAAATCCTAAATTTAGACAACTCTGCCCAGTTCACTCCCCACCGCGGCTGTCAGTCACTGGGAACACTGCCGGTGACAAAGCAATGGATTGAAGAGGTCCAACCTGAGCGGCGGGCGTTGCATCAGCAGGACTTTCCAAAGCACAAGGCAAAAGAACACCATCACATTTGTTGGCTTGCAGCAATGCACGGTGCATCACGGTGCCCAAAACACAAACCTCAAAGCTTGAAGAAAGTGGTGAACTACATAAGCTTGAACAAAGATTGATTCTGTTGAGGTCATGGCAATTGCAAGAATCTGGGCAACCTGTGTGAGCAAAAAAATGTTTCCCTGCCAGGGTGACATGTGACATGTGAACCTTCAAACTCCCCTCAAAGAGAAACTCGTTTTGACACCATGGCCACGCTTTCTGCAGTGGGGCGGCCATGACAAAAATCCAGCAGCTGCACAACCCAAGAGGCACATCACATGTTGATAGTTGTTGTTATTACTACAACCAATGACAAGGCAAACGAATATAACAGCTGTTCAGTGTTAGTCTACACCTGAAAGTTCAACAAACTGGCGTGTAGCTGTGCAGGCTTTATTGCAGGTTGTCTAAAATGAAAGGCAGGTGCCTTGGTCAGGCGTCTCGCGCACTATCAGGGCCAAACCGTTCCTTCCACAGCTCATAGATGGGGATGCACCTCTTGCACCCAATCGACTGGCCTCGACACTTGGAGCACCCAAGCTTAGTCTGGCTGCGGACTGTTGCCTCACGATATTGGGTCCCTGGAAGGACAGCTCCAGGACCTCTCTGGTTCTTTGGCTGCGCCTTCTTCTTGGCCGGCTGTGCGCTGGCAGGCTTCCTGAGAACCACCGGTTCTCGTGCTGGACGTTCCTTAGGTTGGCGACTTGGAAAATGATGTAAAATTAAACCTTAAAGCCCTTAGAAGAGTTTTGAACCAGTGGAAAGAAAGACTTCTGAGTCTAACACAACAATTCAACAAACTTAAACTTGGGTTCTGGAGTGGGAGGTCGCTTCCGTTTTGCTCGGTGCGCTGGAACTGCTGGACCTGGCATACCTGGGCTGGGTGGTCCGGAGTCACCATCTTCATGGTCACCATCCGCATCATCCTGATCATCACCCCTCCCACCCTGGCCGCCACCATGGCCGCCACCATCGCCGTCCTCTCCATTATCTCCTTCAGCTACATCTGAAGCGCTATGCCTTCCTCTCCCACGCCCACGACCCCTAGCACGACCCCTGGCACGGCCATGCCCACGCCCCCCGACCACGACCAGGCGGATCTTTTGGGGCAGCATCAGTGACAACAACCCTGCGCGGAGTGCCTGGAGCAAAATCAGTCAACTCTACTGGTAGACCTTGCTGCTCACGTTGGTCAATCAACTGAACAAGTTCCTCAGCAGTTGTGTTGATGAAAACCAATGGTGGCGGGCAAGGCAACCTCTGTGACTCATTCTCCTGACACAAATGCTCAAGGTACGCCCGGGCACGGACCATCCCCCCATGGGGCTTCTGAGACGGCAAGCGCTGTCTTCCTGAATTCACGGATTGTGCGATCCCCCAAATCGTTCCTGGCAACGACTTGGGTTGGCCCTGCTGGGTGGACTCTAGAAAGCCGGCTGACCGGCGTAAGCAAGACTGGCTTCTGTGACAGCGACGTGGAATGCATGAACTGCTTGCATAGCAGAAAGACATCCCCATCTGCTGGCCCCTCTGGGCATTGGTCCAGGGCCTGCCAACACTCAATGGAAGACTTCACTTGTGGGAGGTTTTGTGGAGCTTGAGTGGTGGAATCCCAAACACTTTGTACAAATCTATGCCACAACAGTTTTCACATGTGTTCACTGACCGTTGGCACCTATTGAATTGTATTTTTCACCTCACACCTCATGTTCTTCGTCTGCCATGTCGACCCACTTCTCATAGCCAGAGTAAAGTTTCATATCTTTTCGCGTTACTATGCGGAAAGCATAGTTCACATCAGGCTGGCTCTTCAAGATGGCCACTCCACTCATGACCCGTTCCATTGGCTCCATAAATTTCTGCCAGTCCCACAGACCCTCCAGCTTTTCAGCAAAGAGCTCGCGGCCCCGCGCTGGTTTGAGAGTCTCTTTGATGCATTGGACAAAATCCTCACAGGTCAGAAATGGAATCCACTCTGGACCAATTTCATGCAAAAAATGCACCGCAATCAACTTATAACAAATCATAAGGACCCTTCAAAGGTCAAAAAGTTCACAGCAGAATCACCAAACTTAGGGTCGTCAGGTGTTTGTAGTTCGTCACTACGAATGAGGGCCGCAGCCAGGGGTACAAATCTTTGATCGCATTCATTGTGTGAATGTCCTGGCAAGTAAAACATGGAGCTTCCTGATCGCCATATGCCTTTCCCAATCGCCCAGCTCAAGAACATGAAGCTGAATTGGTTGCGCTGTTCTCTCGTTGTGTTGTCCGCCTGCACACATACGTGTGCAGGCATTGGTGTCCCCCTCTCGTCCAGCACAGACTTGACATGGTCTAAGCTGCGACATATAGCTGTCAGGTTCATGTCCGAGTTCTTTTTGCAATCGTGGTCCATCACATAATAGCACTCTGCGACACCGTGAACTAGCACGAGAACACAGTGGAGGCTAGGCCTCCAGGCCTTCTCGAACTGCTTGGATGAGAACATCTCTGTTGATCTCGGGCATCGAAACTTTGCCTTTAGCAAAGGTCTGGCTCTGAACAAACATCAACTGCAGTCAGTCTAGGGATATGGTCCCGGAACAAAGTCTAGACCCAGAAGAGTCTTACACACTCAGAACCAAAGAAGGCTTGGCCAGAAAACCTTTGTCATATGTAAATCAAGAAGCCATCTTTATTGGTGGGAAACCTTGGCCACAAGTTGTCACACCCTAGATGGTAGGGTGAACAAGGGGAGGAAAGGGTCAGGAACAAGCAGCCTGTTCCCCAGCCCAAATCTCACATCAGTAGGGGTTTACCTCTGCGCGAGTGAAATAGATTTAAAACTTAATCTTGCCTGGATACTTGGTCCATTCCATCTAAGCAAATATAGAGCGTTCCCAGTTCTGGCGCCACATGTGTGCCCTGGGTTGTGGCAGATTCCGAAAGGAACATGAGCTTGCGGCCAACACCACGGTCCTGAAAGACGCCGTGCTTGCGCAGGTTCGCGGCCTGCGTGATCTCTTGCTTCTGCGACTCGGTCAGATCGTGCGCCCGTCGCTGCCTTGAAAATCGGACACCTCAGACAGTGTCTCAGAGGATTGGTTCTTGGGATGAACTGACACAATCACACACCAAAGAAACAAGAGTTGTTCAGGTTGGACACCACAACGACCATGGATCATGTACAGTATTCAATATTCCAAAATTACTTGCCAGGCGACAATCTTTGCACTGTGTGTGCTGGGATGTTTTGCGGATCCGCAGGCTGAATCGCCATTCTTGCAAATAAACATCTCGAAGCACAGACCTTCCACACACATCCTGTGGATTGGTCAACGGCCCATACATGGAAGTGTACATCTCGTAGATTTCAACAAACTTCATGTGGTGCAACCACCTGCCAGCGGTCAGTCTATCCATGGATAGTTCGGAATGGAACGACGAACTGGCTCTGAACCAGATGAAAATTTCAATACGGAAAAATAAGAACTGCCTTCAAAACGTGATACTCAATTTCCACTAAATATCTTCTGCATCCTCTTTCATCACTGGCCGCACTGCCGCAGCCCCAACAGGGTTCTGGTTGCTTTCAGCTGGCGCTGCTCTGGGGTTTGGGTCGATCCACTCCGTGGACTCGTCCTGAAATTCATCGTCCCCAACATCCTCCACTAGCTCTGGATCCAAACCCTCAGCAAGTGGTTCGGCTAGGTGGTCGTACAAGTACTGAAAGAAGCTACGGGCATGGTCTCTCTTGGGCTCATCCCTTGAAACTCGAAGGGATCTCCCATCAGCTGGAGGCTCTAGGGCACCTTCACGTATAGCCTTGAGGAATTTGGAACACTGCCGTCGGCTCACACCTGTCAAATGACAGAAACCCTCAAAGCAGACTGGCTGACCCAAGAACTTCCACCCTGGACCTTGACCACGTCTGCGAATCACACCATCCTCAGGGAGCAATGCCAAGGATTGCCGAGGGACGATTTGTGGGTTCAGCCCTACTATCAATAGATCAGTAGACTTTAGGGTGGTGATTCACGAAAAAGCTATTGTTTGGGTTTTTTTGCTGGGCTGCTTGCATGCGTCTGATCAAATTGAAAATGAACAGCTCACGCTCCGAGTTCGATTTCTTTGCCATATGCTCTCGCCATTCCTTCTGTCGGACCATCAACTCTGCACTGTCTGTGAAGTTTGTGCAACAATTCCTCTTGCAACATCTTGGCCCCCTGAACAGGTCATGTGAAAGCCCTTTACAAAATCAGTTGACCCAAGTTGCTGATGGCATGTTGCAAAACTCCCCCACACACAGCTATCAGCCCCCATACACTCCAAGATCTGACACTAGGTTGAAAAGTGCCATTGCAAATCTAAGTAACATTGGAACCTCATGCTCGACATCCGGAGGAAGCTCTATGCCCGCGGAGCTGTCGCCGGCTGCCTCATCCACACAGTCTTCGACATCTGCGGGCAGTGAAGGGTCACTGCTGCCATCATCTTCCTGCAAAGCCTTGATTCATGCACTTGGCGCAGTAGCGCCAAGACTGGTGAACTAGAACTGCAAACACACAAAGAAACAACAAAATAAATACGATACCTCAGAAATAAAGCTCTCCCTGAAGTCCAAAAAGGAAACGCGAAGGCCCATGAGGCACGCAGGAGGCAGCCCCCCATCGTCAGAGGGCAATTCAACATCACTCGAATCGCCCATCACACACTTGACTTGACCCACAACATGAGTCTGCATTGCACACGTATATGCGAAAGTTACTATGTTACAGACTGACTGGCCACACATCAAACAGAAAAGGTTTGCAAACAGCCAATATGTGAACCTGACTTTAAACCGCGTTCGAAGTTGGACAGGTTGGCGCTCGGGCCTCCTGCAAGTGAAAGGCCAGCACGCACAGGGTGGCCTCGCCAACCGGCTTCAACGCAATGACATCCAAAACGACGCTCAAGTTTCAACAGTCTCAACATCCCAAGAAAGGCTACCAGCTGTGGGAAAATGAATTGTCTGACAACCACAAACTGGAAAGGCGGTGTGAGTCCAGCCTCATCTATGAAGTAGCTCCCAGACATCCTGGAGTGAAGACTGCCTCACAGGTTGGCTCGGCATGAACGGTCACTAGATCCTTTCGCGTGCTTGAATCTAACAAACCAAATATGCCTTCTGCATTGACTAGCTGACTAGCACTTGACTGGACCTCCACACACAAGCTTGACCTTTGCTCACTGATCTGGCCTGGAACAAGTCAGGAAAGAAAGAAGATGATGCACCTGGTCCGGACTGCCAAGCCTGCAGTGAGCAACCAGGTGCCACATACTGACAAAAACTGGCGACCAATAGCAACCAGTGCTCAGTGGCTGATGTGGAACGCGTTGCCATTTGCACCAAGCTCTGAGACCCTCCCTGGCCTCAACGTGTTATGGCATTCGCACCCATTGCCACGTGCGCTCTGTGGCAGAAAGAAATCTACCCGGGAGTGAACATTGAACATCTAATCACCAGTGTGGAAACTAAGATGGTGAGCAAAAAGCGTGAACAGGTTGACTGTCTAAACTATCACTCGAGACTCTGTCTGTGTGACATCCTGCAAAGTCTTCAGTGGCGTCGCTGCATCAGTGTCCACAAGTTT